TAACAAATTCCTTAAACTTAATAATCACTTTATCACCTTACGCTTGATTAAGTAGGAAAAAATATACAATCTAGAAGTACAAGTCAGGAATAATTTTGAAATTGTTTAGATAACATTTTCTGGAAAACGTTTTTCTTACCTTATCCGTACACGTACACACTGTTCAAATATCATCTGACACAGCCTTACTTTTACTTATATTCTACTTACCATCTTCAAAAAATTATTCCGCTTCTCTGGCATTGGCGTAGTCATAAAATGTGCAAAACATCAGAAACCATAGGGTTGCAGATATCATAGTTATTTAGGGGTATTTTTTGAACATTTTACTTTTTTTTAAAACTTCACCACCTTGAGCGTATTTTCCTAGCGGCACCAATTCAGCTGATAGATTCATAAGTTATTAAGACCACCCTCTGTTCAAAACAATGGACATCTGACAAAACATTCTTGATTTGAATTTACTCAAAAAACATATACATATATGTGTAACATAGGCTTCAAAAAGACAGTAAGCTGTAATGAAGTTTCCTTATGCTTACAGTGATCGCTCTTATACTCTCCCTCTACAGAATGTTAAAATCAGACGTAAGAAGTTATTTTAATAAAAATTAGACTTGTGGGTGTTTCGCCACCTAAAGAAAAAATAATAATGGACGAAATAAAACCTGGTTGGAAAAAGTAGATATTTGTAGAAATTGCACGGGATGAACTGAATATGGGGCCAGTTTGAAGAAATGAAGCTGAAAATCTTGGCTCGATAATAAAACCCAAACCCCAAAATAAGAAATTTGACGGACTTAAATGCCACGGTCTAGACAACTTGTGGTTTTTTAATGCTTTTTTATACTTTTAAGTTAAACTTTCGTTACGTTTTACAAACTTTAATAAAATTAGCAGAAGGTTAGATATTACGATCACGAAGAATGGTTGTTGCCCTGTATCTTCGAAATGAAGCTCTATACAGATCTATGCTTATGTAGGGAGATCCAAAAGACCCAAATGGCAAAGTTTTTCAGGATATTCAAGGGGCATAATAAAAGAAAATGATGTATGTGTAAATGGTGTATTTTTCCTAGGCTTTTTAGTGGTTACCTTGAATTTGAGGTCGAGCCTGACCAAATCAAATTCACGACGATTTTGTTTGCTTTGATAATGTCCTTAGTTTTATATTATCCTTGTCTTGACTCGATGAATCGGTGTGGAATGCAAAAAATGCAAAACAACTGCTGTATAGGTTTGTATATAGTCTTCGAAATATAGTTGTGTGTTCTCTAAGATCAAGGAGTTGAAATGGCAATTTGAATGTAATCTTAAAGTATTTGTGATTTGTACATAGTAAATTGATAACTAGAGGAACCATTAATCTTAGAGATCTGAGGCATAATAATAACCTTACACTGCCTTTGCACTATACCGTATTATCTCCAAAATGTTTTACCTTCATGCAGTGAATTTGCACAACCCAACCGGCCCTCCCTGGAGAAGCAAAATTGTGAGATTCAGGAAGCTGGTTAAAAATCAGCTGTTAGATCTGTTGTGATTAGTTATGATATTGCCTTTACGTTTTTTTTTGTACTTTCATCCATTCATTATTAGTTCTCATCTAGTTCCTTTTTGGTAAGCCAACATAGCGTGGATTTATCAGTTGAATCTGTTTTTTTTATTAGTTCACGCACTTGAATATCAAATCGATGTACTTATTTTTATATCCTATCCATAGTCCATTTACGCTCCGGCACAACAAAGATGCAGCGCGGCAAAGCGGCAGCCGCCTAAGCGTTGCAATAGCTATTGGTAATTCGGCCATAAGACTAGGAACAAGTGCAGAATTCGACAGGATAGAACTGAGTACTCGGGATATCGCCGGCACGCCGACGCCGGCAGTTGCTCTTCATATTATTAGCCTGTGTTTATACGTTAGCGTGTCATCTACGGACAAAGCAAATGAAACTGAGAATATTTCTCTTAATGCTTCCTTCAGCCATGTTTACTCTTCAGTTGTATCTCCTCCCCGAAAACGTGACAAGAAGGGACATTTGAATATTCAGGCAAAAGAAATTGTCCTTAACGTTTATGAGAGCGAAATTTTAGAGCATCCTTAAAGTATTAAAAGACGTGTGGCAAATAAAACAGGCTTATGTCGTAAGAAAATGTTCAACATTGCTATAGAATATAAAAAAAAACAAAAAAATGTGTCCATCACACAAGAGGCTGCATTACACGAAGCTGTTGGATACAGTTGATAACTTTGATTGCTTGATGGCATTCGCCATCGCATGCTATGCGCATTTGAGTCAAACAAAACAACAGACTACCATGAATAAATGGACGGGTGTTCATTTGAACGATGGTTTGAAGAAACGATCCCAAAGCTTGACGACAATGCCATCATTGTACTTGATAATGACACTAGAAAACTAGAAAAAATTCCCACAATGTCCACAAGAAAGGCAGAAATTCAACAATGACTTCTATCAAACGACATTAGTTTCAATGAAAATATGGTCAAAGCAGAACTTATCCATCTACTCAGGCAGCACAAATATAAATATAATCTTAATAGTATTGACGAAATGGCTAAAACCAAAATAAGACCGTTTTAAGGCTGCCCCCTTATCACTGCGAATTAAGTCCCATTGAAATGATTTTGGTAAATACACCTATAAAAAACTGTGTGGTTTCAAACAATAGAACATTCAAATTTTCTGACGTGAAAAATTTGTTTTATGAAGCTGTCAACAGAGTGACGGCAAACCATTGGAAAGATCGCATTCCTCACATTCAAGGGACAATCGAAGATGCGGGATCTGGACAACATGATCGATATTCAAATTGAATCTGTAATAATTAATATTAACCATTCGGATGATGATTCAAGTACTTCCAGCGAATAGAGAATTGTGAGAAGTATGTGCACTTGTTTCTATAAAAATAATCATTTATTTTGTTAGACCATTGAGGAAAATACGGACCTGTACAATCTTGCTTTTGGGCATGCTGTGACCATGGTACGCCCCAGACGATTCCAACATGGTTCCAACGAACCTAAACAATATTCGTAGTTTTTGTCGCATTCCATTCACTGTTTTTGCGCGCCGGATGATGTAGGTGTTACAAAGGAGATGTACGGATATTAAGACTAACTTGGCATTTCTTGGTATAATTTTTAGAAACAAATTAACTAAATAGATCATGGCCATACTTGTTGGTTTTGGGACATGCCGTTACTTCTATAAATGGGACTTGTTCAAGGGCGTATCCCCCTTTTCCCTAACTCGTTAAAAATTTAATGCAGCGAACATTTTTTACAAAAATTATATTACTCAATCAGCTGAATCAATATTCGATGAGCAATTATTAAGTTAGGTGTCTTTCAAGTTCGAACCTTCGCCTTTGGGATTTCTGCATAACATTATGAATCAATAATTACTGACATCCAGGCTACACGGTCAATAAATATCACATCTCATGATAAGTATATTGACGGATCACAGTAAATACTGATCTTCTGATTTACCTAAATGACGGGGAGTACCTTTGGGCAAGTGGGGTAGCAACATAAAAAATGGAACGTGGACAGTGGAGTATTTCCGAATTTAGACTATGTCGATTTTATCATTTACTGACTTTAGACCGGAACAAGCCTTTTCAAACGTCCACATTGTCTACATATTTCAAACAAATTACACAGTATCAATCACACTAACTTTTTCTCTTCTACACGGTGGCATAATTAGTATTTTGATCCGCCGTTTCAGCTCTCAGTTTTTTGAAATTATACCGTTTTTGATGTCTTCATTATTACCCTTAAATCATATAAATGAGTTACGTGACGTTGTTCCTCGTTCCAGTTTGAACCAACTATATGAAGCTATAGGCACTTGAAGTTTTATATCAAAGCGTACCACGTTATCATCTTTGATTCTATGAAATAAATGACTATATGATAATTTCAAGGCTTGCTCAATAAATTTTTTTATTGTAATTTATGAAATGCTATATTTGAAATCAGAGGTGGCATACATAAGAAAAATCAAAGTTGAGACGGGGAATAAAAGACGAAAAGTCATACTAATGTTCTATATGCCTCCTTGCAGATGCAGAGATGAAAAAGTGGCAATGTCAATGTGCAGTTTATTTTGACATCCTATCTCAAATAAATTCAGAAAAATTAGAAACGATTTTGGGAAAATTCGTTTCTCTCTCCGTGTATGTCTGGGATACTGGATGCTTATCTTTGGTGCACAGTCGATTGCAAGGATTCCTTTCACTATCTGGGAAGTGACCCACGTGCATAAGACCGTAGGGCGGCTCCTCTTGTCGCTCAACAGCAACTGGTTTTGGGCAATCACAGCATTTTACAGAGCCTTTCACACTATTCCAGTAACACACTGTTTATGATTATGAAAATGGAAAAGCAAGATAAGTTTAAGATGCCACATTAACCAAAAACTAGTGCCACGACTTAACTTGTGTTTGAATCTTTATGGTGACTATGTTAAAAAATGAAAGAATGTTCATATTTTAGTTTGCGTTACAGTTCATATTCTTATTTAATTCTTACTTAACAAATACCCTCGTATAAACCGTTACTTCAATAAATATGCTACTTTTCTTTTGAGTTAATAACTGTGGCATGCTGGCAGGTTATAGATTTTCGATTGTACAAATGAACCCAGAATTGTAGAACGACTTGAACCCAGGTAGTCAGGGTGGGAAATGTGGTGTCTCAGAAAAGGGAACTCTCCATCGGAGTACCTACCACAGGGCTCAGTATTGGCTCCTATTTTACATTAATGACTTGCCTTTGGCAAGCATAGATGCTGCTTTCAGCCTTTTGCAGACGACACCAATATCTCCCTTACTGCAGGTTCTTTGGATGGATCCATATTGGGAATGTAAACCGTACAGTCGGATGTTAAGATTTGGTGCGAAGCGACTGGATTTCTACTGAATCAAAGCAAAACCCAACAGTTGTTGTGTAAATATGAATACATCATCTGCAAAATTCCGGAGGAGTACCTACGTCCACCCGTATCTTAATGTCCACATAAACCATGTGGCGAAAAAACTTGGGTCTGCATTGTATGCGTTAAGACGCCTAGAGGAATGCGTTGAGTACATCGGTGATGAAAACCGCTTATTATGCATTATTTCATTCCATCATGTCATACGCTTTACTAATCTGGGAATGTGCGGCGCAATCACATCGTGTATCTGGCATTCGGAGGAAGGCCTTCCGGATAATTAAGGGCTGTTTGTAGCTAGACTTCTAGAGACCTAGAGATTTTAACGTTGCCCTCCCAATACATCATCAACTGTCTTCTCCACAAAAAGAACAACTTCACTATGTTCAGGATTCACAGTGATGTTCACGAACACGATACCAGGTTCAAAAGTAATCTAATGCCAGAGTAATTACGTCTAACGAGGTGTCAGACGTCTCCAGAGTACCAGGGCATACAATTGTTTAATCATCTGCCGAAAAGCATCAGTCAACAAATTTAAAGAAAATCTAAAAAGCATCTTAATGTCTGGTGCTTTCTATAGTACGTATGAATCTCTCTGGCATACATTTTAAAACTGTCATTTTTTTGAAGAATGTAGGCTTTCCCGGCTAATTTTAATGTCATTTAGGTTTTTCGGGCTGGTGAGCCGTGTCGCATCAAAATTGAAGAAATAATTCCAATGAAAATGGAAACAAAATATTAAATTAAATATTCGAACACACCTTCTTCTTGGGTTTGACAGTAAGCTAACTTATTGTAGCAGTCTGTAGGAACATTTTCTGCTGTAACATATTGGCAACGCGGCAGATTGCATGACCTTCTACGTGACTGTTGCTAGGCAATATAGTGATGACCTTTGCTCTTCAGTCAGCTTTTATATCTTTCTAACATGTGTTGATACACACTTCTCGCCCTTCTCTCTCGTACACATTGAACTCAAGCAGTCGGACAAATGTGGTTATCCCTGTATAATCTTAGCTTGATTTGGATGAGTCACTGATCACGCTCCATGCTACACGATTACACTCATCAGGAAATAAACATCATTAATGCAACTCAAATCAACTTTATTTTCATGCATAAAATGTCCTCCACCTAAATGGAGATATGTCAGCAAAAACAATTCACAAAAAGAACTTCCTTCTACTTGTCTCCATTTTATGCCGTCTTCCATCTATGAAGGTGCCTTTCTGCAAAGATTTCAATCGCAACGTAAATCTCGGCCCGAGCTCCATCAATCTTGCTCTCTTGCCATCACCGTCGAAACCGTACCTAAAAAGGGAATTGCCTTTATTGTACTTACTAATACACTTCGCGCAAAGTCGGAGCTATTAAGTATTTATGGAAAATAAAAAATACGCACAAGTTTTATAATGTCAAATCACACTACATGAGACAAATGCGTTTCTAAAATCAGAGACCTGCTGTTCAAATAACAAATCTGGCAGCACGGAAGGTACCATCTATGAGTGAATTGTTGAGCTAAAAAGAGTTCTGCTTATTTATGATACCTGCTATTTTGACCATTACACGTAACTACTAAAATTTACAGCTCATAGGTCAGAGGCGTAATAATGCAGTTTATTTTCAGAAACGAGCCGTTCTAGGAGAGTGTTTGAGATTATAGAATATAAACATTGCTCCCGAATTTAACAGGTTAAATGGTGTAGGTGTTTATGATAGAAGAACTGCTTAACATCTTCAAATAAATTTTATTTCATCAAGTTTTCCAGCGGTTAGACAATTACTATTTATTTTTTACAGTGATATAGAACAGCAACATTTTTAACTTAGCTTACAAACATTTGGTTCTCAGTTATATTATTTTTCTCTGAAGACAAAAAACAATGCGCGATACGAATCACACAACATGATATCATTATAACAAAACAATAACAAAATAGTAGGTACATTCAATTTTATTATTGGTTACACTTAGTGAGTTGAGCACACATTTCAATATACATTATGATCTTCGTTTGGAATATACTATTATTGAATTGTTGCTAACTCAAATAAACGGCTTAACAGTTTACATAACATAAAATACAAAGGTAACAAAAAATAGATATGGAAAGAAAACGATAAGATTGAAGGTTGATATGACTTTTACGATCAAACTCTGACAAATATTCACAACCAGCACATTTTATACAATAACTTCTCGCCATATAAACCTTCTTTGGGAGGTCTAAATATTGATGATTGGACATTCAAATTTTCTTCCTATTTCAAATTTTGAAAATATTCGATTTTGATGCTATATGATTTGTCATTAGGTACTTATAATTGCACTAAATGCTTCAATAGAGTTACTATTTTGAAAAATATAAAACATATTTTCATTATCAAAATAATAAAACAGAGTTATGCATCCTTTTTTAAAAATAATGTAACTACGCCTTTGAACCAGAATATAAATTCAAGTTAGACTCATCGTGTACGGTTCACTTATTCACTCATAGATAGCAGCACCCGCTATTGATGAGTGTTGCCAGATTTTTATGGTACCAAAACCTGCTTCATAACTCGCAAGCTTTACCTGTGATATTTGTGTCAAATCAAACACCTGTGGTAGTGAACACAATTCGCAATTAAGTATTTATGGAAAATAAAAAAATACGCACAAGTTTTATAATGTCAAATCACACTACGTGAGACAAATGCGTTTCTAAAATCAGAGACCTGCTGTTCAAATAACAAATCTGGTAGCACGGAAGGTACCATCTATGAGTGAATTGTTGAGCTAAAAAGAGTTCTGCTTATTTATGATAACTGCTATTTTGACCATTACAGGTAACTACTAAAATTTACAGCTCATAGGTCAGAGACGTAATAACACCTACTGATAATAAAAAAAGTCATCTGGTCTGGGAACACTGTTCGTATAATGTCGGCTGGGCTGTGCTTCACACTTTTCGCCTGGTCCTGGTTAATATTTTTGTTGAAGTGTGAATAACAGTGAACTTTTTATAAATTACTCCCCTTTGTAAGGTAAGCTGTCACATTATGAATATCATTTATATGTAGAAACTTAGTTCACAAACTGTTGTTTTTTGCAAGGTTCTCATCAACCAAGATTCGAAATCTCGTACTTTTTTTTGATGCATTCCATTCATTTGAGATAATCCAACATTCAGTATGTGTCTTCAATATGCATATTCCTTCCTCATTTGTATCTTTCTTCTTTTTTGATTTAAGCTACTACCACTTCGACGTTTCCTGTTTAAATTAATTATAAACATAATTCCAGAGTTGATAACAACGCCTGCCCAAAAATACGTTACGATTTAAAATTGACAAAGTTAGCTCACGTTATTTTTTTCATTTGTGTTACATATCATCAATTAGGTTTTTATAAGTTTATACTAGCATTTTAACAAATCTAGGGTTATTTTTTTGATTTTTAAAATTTGCTTCACATGTAAATCATGTGGCTGAAGAACCGATCGATCGTGCGCGATCGAAAACGTTATAAAGGCAGCAGTGCACAAAATTTGTCATTTCAACGTACAACCACGTCTTTTGGCTTTAAATGTGCGTAAATCAATGCGGTTTTCATGCAGTATCGTTTATTTTATGTGTTTTTATGTGTCATTGAAGTCTAGCCCCCCTTCCCCAAAAACATCCCCAAAGTGGTGAGTAACGCGAAAAAGTTATTATTTCGTGAAAATTATAATGAAAAAATGCGGTTTTTGCGTTAATCGCATAAGACAAACATTCCTCAAGTGTCCTTGAGTGGACATGGCATTAACTCGTGGTTTACCTCCAAAAAAATATATAGATATAAAAAATTACTATTTTGAATCAGATCGGAAACCCGTAATTGTTGAAAATCACCTTACGCCCAAAATTTTTTCGCGGATATCTGGTCAACTTAACGTGTTCTAACAGCCCATGGTAGTCGTTTGCTCGAGCGGGGTCCGGAACATACTTTTTCAGGGTTAGGGTGTATTTACATGGCGTTCGCGCTAAAAAAATTATATTTCAAAAAAATTGGCTTACGCCCAAAATTTTTTTGTGCGAATCGTGTTTATTTAACATGTTCTAACATCCCACCAAGCCGTTTCCCACAGGGGGGTCCGGAACACCCCGATCCGCACTTCGATCAGATTTCGAGAAAACACCTGTCATTTTTCAAAATCGCTTTACGCCCAAAATTTTTTCACTGATATCCGGTCAACTTAATGTGTTCTAATAGCCCATGATAGTCGATCGCTCGAGCGGGGTCCGGAACATACTTTTTCAGAGTTAGGGTGAGTTTACATGGCGTTCGCGCTAAAAAAATTATATTTCAAAAAAATTGGCTTACGCCCAAAATTTTTTTGTGCGAATCGTGTTTATTTAACATGTTCTAACATCCCACCAAGCCGTTTCCCACAGGGGGGTCCGGAACACCCCGATCCGCACTTCGATCAGATTTCGAGAAAACACCTGTCATTTTTCAAAATCGCTTTACGCCCAAAATTTTTTCACTGATATCCGGTCAACTTAATGTGTTCTAATAGCCCATGATAGTCGATCGCTCGAGCGGGGTCCGGAACATACTTTTTCAGAGTTAGGGTGAGTTTACATGGCGTTCGCGCTAAAAAAATTATATTTCAAAAAAATTGGCTTACGCCCAAAATTTTTTGTGCGAATCGTGTTTATTTAACATGTTCTAACATCCCACCAAGACGTTTCCCACAGGGGGGTCCGGAACACCCCGATCCGCACTTCGATCAGATTTCGAGAAAACACCTGTCATTTTTCAAAATCGCTTTACGCCCAAAATTTTTTCACTGATATCCGGTCAACTTAATGTGTTCTAATAGCCCATGATAGTCGATCGCTCGAGCGGGGTCCGGAACATACTTTTTCAGAGTTAGGGTGAGTTTACATGGCGTTCGCGCTAAAAAAATTATATTTCAAAAAAATTGGCTTACGCCCAAAATTTTTTTGTGTGAATCGTATTTATTTAACATGTTCTAACATCCCACCAAGCCGTTTCCCCCAGGGGGGTCCGGAACACCCCGATCCGCACTTCGATCAGAATTCGAAAAAACACCTGTCATTTTTCAAAATCGCTTTACGCCCAAAATTTTTTCACTGATATCCGGTCAACTTAACGTGTTCTAACAGCCCATGATAGTCGATCGCTCGAGCGGGGTCCGGAACATACTTTTTCAGAGTTAGGGTGGGTTTACATGGCGTTCGCGATAAAAAAAATATATTTCAAAAAAATTGGCTTACGCCCAAAATTTTTTTGTGCGAATCGTGTTTATTTAACATGTTCTAACATCCCACCAAGCCGTTTCCCCCAGGGGGGTCCGGAACACCCCGATCCGCACTTCGATCAGATTTCGAGAAAACACCTGTCATTTTTCAAAATCGCTTTACGCCCAAAATTTTTTCACTGATATCCGGTCAACTTAAGGTGTTCTAACAGCCCATGATAGTCGATCGCTCGAGCGGGGTCCGGAACATACTTTTTCAGAGTTAGGGTGAGTATACATGGCGTTCGCGCTAAAAAAAATATTTCAAAAAAATTGGCTTACGCCCAAAATTTTTTTGTGCAAATCGTGTTTATTTAACATGTTCTAACATCCCACCAAGCCGTTTCCCCCAGGGGGGTCCGGAACACCCCGATCCGCACTTCGATCAGATTTCGAGAAAACACCTGTCATTTTTCAAAATCGCTTTACGCCCAAAATTTTTTCACTGATATCCGATCAACTTAAGGTGTTCTAACAGCCCATGATAGTCGATCGCTCGAGCGGAGTCCGGAACATACTTTTTCAGAGTTAGGGTGAGTTTACATGGCGTTCGCGCTAAAAAAAAAATATTTCAAAAAAATTGGCTTACGCCCAACATTTTTTTGTGCAAATCGTGTTTATTTAACATGTTCTAACATCCCACCAAGCCGTTTCCCCCAGGGGGGTCCGGAACACCCCGATCCGCACTTCGATCAGATTTCGAGAAAACACCTGTCATTTTTCAAAATCGCTTTACGCCCAAAATTTTTTCACTGATATCCGATCAACTTAAGGTGTTCTAACAGCCCATGATAGTCGATCGCTCGAGCGGAGTCCGGAACATACTTTTTCAGAGTTAGGGTGAGTTTACATGGCGTTCGCGCTAAAAAAAAAATATTTCAAAAAAATTGGCTTACGCCCAACATTTTTTTGTGCAAATCGTGTTTATTTAACATGTTCTAACATCCCACCAAGCCGTTTCCCCCAGGGGGGTCCGGAACACCCCGATCCGCACTTCGATCAGATTTCGAGAAAACACCTGTCATTTTTCAAAATCGCTTTACGCCCAAAATTTGTTCACTGATATCCGGTCAACTTAACGTGTTCTAACAGCCCATGATAGTCGATCGCTCGAGCGGGGTCCGGAACATACTTTTTTAGGGTTAGGGTGGGTTTACGTGGCGTTCTCACAAAAAAAATTATATTTCTAATAATTGACCAATTTTTTTGTACAATGCTCCAGTGGATGACCACCGCCCGCACCAGTGGCCATTTATATACCTTATTGAAGGCGATACTCAATACATTTTAAAAAACAAAGATATAGAGCAGATGTTTTGTTGCGATGTGATCAGTTCGGCATTAGGAATTGTCGACTGATGACATCTCAGGTCGATACTGTAGTTATTATTTTTTTTAAAACTTTGAGGTTTGCGGCAAACAGACCCTGTTGCTTCAAAATGTATAATTGCTCCTGTAGGTGGAACTATGTTAACTGACATTCGGTATAGAGGAGAACTGCTAGCGACATATCGCAAATAAGGGTCAAGCTGGTTATGCTGCTTAATGCAATATTGAAACAAATCGGATAAGTCCCGCGAACTGAGCAGCAGTCTGTTCCCGCGTTTTGTTTTGGATGCAATTTTGTGGTAGGTGGTAAATTGGGAAATGTCTTGCGGATGCCCATCTTTGAGCAGTTCTTTGTCGGTTTTAGATATCACCTCTAGTTGGTAATCGCGGGCACTACGATATTTAAGCCAGTTATTTATTCTCTGAACCCCTTGCTTGTTGAAACTGCACATCATCACCAGCCCGACCAATATCGGACGCAGAAAATTTGAAATACTGAGTCGAGTACATTTGGCATATATATATATATATATATGTAGCACAATTGTTCCGATTGCGCCTAAAAGAATATAATGCCAAAAAACACGCATATTTTAACGATCTCCCCGTCATTTTTTATTTCCGTTGATAGAATAGTGAAATTGTCGATTTCGGCCGGGTACTGCTTACCTTTTGTTATTTTCGATTAAATATAACCGTTAATAGCCACCATGCTCGCACATGAAATTCTTGATATGCCTAGGCACTAGTTCACTTCATCCACCAACTTCACGATATCACATATCACACGTGCAACACTCACTTTTTCGCGAAATTCGTTTGCAGACATTGCAGTATTTTGAAGAAATACTGTAACCCGAGATGCCCAACGACACAAACACAACTAAATTATGCCAATAAAAATTTACCTATATGTATCCTTGTTTTACAACCTATACCTATACGTATCCTTTTTGCTTACAACCTGAGGATTACATAAAATTCCGTTACAATTGTCTATATTACCCCGACATTCCTGCAAACAGCCCAACGGTACGTATTTACTACCTGCATCCGGTACCTTTGCTGGGGACACAAAGTGATTACATTAGTATTAGATTTTGATGTGGGATTCTAAATCGGCGACCTGGTCCTGGTTGTCGACAAACATATGTACGTATATACACGGATTTGAAAAATAATCATACTAATGAGGTTCTCTCAGCTAATGATAAGGCCATGTAAAGAAACTGATAATTTCATCTCACCGTAATCAATACGTGTTCAATATTGATTAAGTGTACATTCTGCGACTTACACGGATAGACCTATTAAAATCGCTTTTATTTTACTATATTGTTACATTCTGTATTACAAATACACAAAACCAATATTGTATAGTTTATTCAATAACATTCACGTCCGCCTGAGGTGATCATGAGCTATTAGAACACATTATGTTGACCAGAAATCCGTGAAAAATTTTGCGCGTAAGCCAATTTTTTTGAAATATAATTTTTTTAGCGCGAACGCCATGTAAACTCACCCTAACTCTGAAAAAGTATGTTCCGGACCCCGCTCGAGCGATCGACTATCATGGGCTGTTAGAACACGTTAAGTTGACCGGATATCAGTGAAAAAATTTTGGGCGTAAAGCGATTTTGAAAAATGACAGGTGTTTTCTCTAAATCTGATCGAAGTGCGGATCGGGGTGTTCCGGACCCCCCTGGGGGAAACGGCTTGGTGGAATGTTAGAACATTTAAATAAACACGATTCGCACAAAAAAATTTTTGGCTTAAGCCAATTTGTTTGAAATATAATTTTTTTGCGCGAACGGCATGTAAACCCACCCTAACCCTGAAAAAGTATGTTCCGGACCCCGCTCGAGCAAACGACTACCATGGGCTGTTAGAACACGTTAAGTTGACCAGATATCCGCGAAAAAAATTTTGGGCGTAAGGTGATTTTCAACAATTACGGGTTTCCGATCTGATTCAAAATAGTAATTTTTTATATCTATATATTTTTTTGGAGGTAAACCACGAGTTAATGCCATGTCCACTCAAGGACACTTGAGGTATGTTTGTCTTATGCGATTAACGCAAAAACCGCATTTTTTCATTATAATTTTCACGAAATAATAACTTTTTCGCGTTACTCACCACTTTGGGGATGTTTTTGGGGAAGGGGGGCTAGACTTCAATGACACATAAAAACACATAAAATAAACGATACTGCATGAAAACCGCATTGATTTACGCACATTTAAAGCCAAAAGACGTGGTTGTACGTTGAAATGACAAATTTTGTGCACTGCTGCCTTTATAACGTTTTCGATCGCGCACGATCGATCGGTTCTTCAGCCACATTGTAAATCTATAAATATAAGATTTTGAATGTTATAATTTTTATCACATAATCTTCCTATACTAATAGCTTTCCGGAGTTCTTTCTAAAAACCTATTGGACCATTCTTGAACTCAAGCTGTGCCAGTTTGTCTTGCATTAGGTATCTCATATAATCAGATAGGTACTTACATCTAACTCATCAATTTGTTGTTAAAAGCTGTAATGACTTGTTCAGAGTTGCAACTAGTCACTGTCTTACTCAATTTTCTATCCCAATATCTCATCCAAACCATAAGAAAACCTGTTTGTCATGTTTTAGATGATTTCAGTGTAATCTTATTTTTGGGAAGGTATGCAGTTAATAATTTTTAATATCTGAATTTGGTTCAGACTGATTATTGTGTACCCTTTATTATTTAGCATCTTTTTTGTTATATAATAATAATTTTTAATAGCTTCCTATTACCCTCAATGATAGGACAATTTTTCTTCATTACTCAATTACTTACTTGAATATGTTCTAATTTTACAGAGACCAAAAATTATTGCTAATTGCTATTAGGGCTTCGTTAGCCAAAATGAACTTTTAAAAATCCATCGTCGATAAAAAAAAATTGGTGTTTTTTTATATTTACAAAAATACACTTTGCCCTTTGGGCTATTAGCAGCTGGTTCTGTTTACAGTTTGTGAAACATATACGAGCCCCTTCCCACTTCAGTTGGCCCACAAGATTTGTACCAAAATATGCCTTTATAAACTAAACATGACGAAACTATCTACTTCTAAAACAATTTATTTTCTCAAAAACATTTTAGACACACTCTAGTCGTAAAAAATACATATTTGAAATCACTTAGAGCTATAACTAATAGATCATCTGACCATTGGGTAACATCACCTTTATTTTTTATTACAGCTGAAATTCTATGGGGCAAGTTTTGGTAAAATTTTGGAGCAAAACAATCCCATATTTCTTGAAGCTTTTTTCTCAGTTCAGTGATTGTACGAGCAGAATGTTGTCGTAGAACCTTTTTCATCTCGTGCCACAAAGTTTCAATAGGTGACAGATCTGGACTACTAGAAACCCATTTCAAAAGTAGTACATTATTTTCTTCCATCCATTTTATAGCCTTTTTTGAGGTATGGCACGCTGCACCATCTTGCTGAAACACAAAATCTTGGCCGGATGTCAAACATTGTTCCAACACTGGTAAAAGCAATTCTTCTAAAATTGCCAAATATTTGTTTGTACCCACATTTCCATCAATAAAATGAAGTTTTCCTACTCCTTTTGATGACATACTGCCCCAGACCATAATGGATGCTGGAAATTTCACTTTTCTCTTCAGACAGTCAACATGGAATGCTTCATTTTTTTTGCGAATAACTCTACTGTGACTGTCACCAACACAAACTTCGAATCGGGCCTCATCACTCCATTGTATTGCACACCATTGTTGAGGTGTCCATTGTCTATCTTCTTTAGCCCATCTAAGCCGATTTTTCTTTTGCAGTGGAGTTAATAGTGGCTTTTCTTTGGCCTATAAACAAGTTGTGCAACTTTAGGATTTTTACTTCACTTTTTTTTATCAGAAAACTTACCTTGCAAGTCCTAAATCCCAGTTTGTGGGCCTCTATGAGTTGTGGACCTCGAAATTCTCCTTCCAACAGCGTCACTCCACAGAGCACTTAATTGTAAATAATTGGCATGCCTGTTTTACACGATTATTCTTCTTAATGCTCTTCGGTCTGCATTTGTGATATTACTTTTTTTCACATATTGTGGCTTAATATTAACTGGGCCAGTTACGTTATATCTCCTAACAATATTTCTCACACTGTAACGCGATAAGTCTAACAAAGTTGCAATTTCTGAGTGTGATTTCCCATAAATTTAATTATCAGTAACCGAATTTTCTCACTAATAACCTTTCCTCTACCCATTTTGAAAACCTTAACTACCCAACACTATTTTAAATGTATTCTGACAGCTGTGACTAATAAAAACAATTGTCATGGCTTTTATTTTTCACAGCCACCTATGCGTTATAGACTTATTTTGTATTGAAATGAAAATAGGTTGATATGCTGTAATTGCAACATATGTTATTTTTATGCTGCAAATTTGATTAGGGAGTGACAAAGTTGGTGTTTTCTACCATATATTATCAAAATATTCATTTTTAATATTTTAAACTTATAACACCCTGCTACATTTTTATTATTTGTGTTTGATAAGAAAAAACTAAGATTTCAATAGTTGGGCCAACTGAAATGGGAAGGGGCTCGTATATGTCCTTAAGATATTAAGCAATATTATCTGTATTGCAGTTTGAGCTTATAATGTCATTAAGGTTATCCCTAATATTGTTGGCTGCTTAACTGACAAATGGCGGTCAAACCAACTCACAAACTTCACACTTTGGCTCCTGTTCACCTAAGATGTGAAATTCATGCATAACCCTTGTGTGGACAGCACTTTGTGTCTTCTATTGGAGGTTACTGCTACCATTGGTCCTAAATTTGACTTCGGCTCTAGCAGCTTCAATTGAGATGCTTGCCATTTCCTGTTCCATCTTGATATTGGCCACTGGCAGTTTCAGGTTTATCAGACCATCTGAAGTTGCAGCCTTTTTAGCATTTTGGTCTGCTAATTTGTTTCCACCAATTCCAGCCTGAGATGGAATCCAAATAAACACAACATGTTCTGAAAAAATTAATAGATAGATTTTGAATTTATCATATAGAAATATATACCTAATATATATGTATATTTAGGGATTCCTTGTATTCATACTCTGGGCCTACTACCTGATTGTGACAAATTCCAAATCGAGGGTGAAGATCAAGGTAGAGATTTTTTCACAAAAGAAACATAAACCGTTGCAATGATTAAGTGCAGAAATAACTTATACACCTGTAATAATAATCCATTTATATCCCTGTTAAATAGTAGTAGGCACTATAACAAGTCAAACTCAGACAAATTGGTGAACAGAAACATCCACAGTTTAGGAAATAAAAAAATTGTAAATGTAGCTTTAGGGTAAAACTCCTTCAAGCTGTAGAAGTACTTGTGTAATGTTTAGGTCAAAAAATCATTAGCTCTAGTGTTGTAATTATGGTCATCATCTTGCTTCAAAAATATTGATTTGTTTTTATGCACAATAGTATAAAATATTCAGAGATTTAAAGTAATTTCTGCAAGATTGACGCGAATGTAGATTTTCAATACACCTGAGTACATCTTTCTCTAGCAAAAAGACTGTATGTATTGATGAGCTACATCCCCAGCATAAAATGCCATAACATGTTACAGTGATTCCACATGAGGCTCCCAATATAAATGATGGTCAGTGGTTATACCTAACATTCTAAGCGATAGAGAAGATTGAATTGCCAAATTATCATTTACGTAAGGTTTTAGGTGAACACTGAAATCAGGGTTATCTCTCAGCAAAAACTTCATGACTTGTGTCATTTCTACATTCAGTATGAATCCATTCATTTGTGCATAGTTTTAAATTACTGGTTTTCATGGTAAAGTCATCATTGCTGACATCAGTTAGTAAATTAGTGTCATCTACCTGATACCACTTTACACTGGGCAGAAATGCATTCAGGTTGTTAGCATACAATAAAAATAGGAAAGGGCTAAGGTCCCTTTGTCTCACTTTTTATCCCATTGAGACATATTGCTATAGTGTATCAAGATATCATCAAAAGAGTTGTGAGGGTAGACCACAAATTCCATACCAATACAGTTAAAACAGCAACAGTTCATGACCTACATAATCAAAAACACAATTCTAAGAAAATGCCGCATATTTGTTGTTTTCTGCCAAGAGCATTAATTAATATTATTTTTAATTTATATAATGCAGTTTCAGTGCTTTTACCATTGACAGAGCCATGTTTATTTTTTGAGATCAGTTCATCTCTATTACAAAAATCAACCAACTGTTTTCATATTGAGGTCGAAAACAGAGAAACTCGGTAGTAAGCCTATACCTCTGTAATTAGCATAATCATTGGGATCATTCCTTTCATGAATTGGAATAACCAAGGCCAATTTAAGACCGCTTGAAAAAGTTCCCCAAATTTATTAGATAAGACAGAGCGGTGCAGATCTCTGAAACACATTTTTTAAGAAATTTATTTTAGATGCCATATCCACTTGAATTAGAATTCTTTAGCTGGACAATTAGGTAACCTTACATCATATTCTGATACTGGTGACATGTACAAAGGATTTGGACACATCTATATAATTTCCAGCAAAGTCTAGACGAAATTTTTTATTTGCAATAATGAATCTTCATTGAATTTGGTGGATAGCTCATGAACTAACTTCTACTTCATCATCTGTAATAACAACATTTCTGTTAGGATTTTTCTTTTTTATACTATTAATTACTTGCTTTTCTTTTGTATACTATTAATTACTTGCCACATGCACTTTAACTTGTTACTAGCCTCACAGATTTGCTGATCAATATTATCTCTCTTATTGTGTGTGTGACTTTTTCCCCTGTACTGTACAATTTTGTTAAGAATCTACTGATTTCCTTATACTTGTCATTTTTCTCAGCCACAGTATGAAACAATGTGAGATAGTTCCTCAGTGCAATGAGTTCAGGTGGTAATATAGTTTGCATTTTGGTTGTCAGAGATGTTCACCAATCTATAGGGAAAACATAAATTATACATACAACATAAATAGTACATGAGGATGATATGGAAGGTTTCCAAGCTGCATCAACTGATGATTCACAAAATAACTTTTGGCAGAAGTTTTCTGTATTATGAAAAATTTCGAATATAGGAAAAGCATGAGCTTTTTTACACTTTTATGATTAGAATGCTAATGTTTATAGTTTGACAGTAGTGATCACAGATTTTGTACAGATACCCTAAAATTTGACTACATATGCACTAAAAAAGCTATCAAGACAGGTACTTGAAGTGCACTATAAAATTGATTCAACAACATCGTATTAGATCCGTCAAAAAAAATTAGGTGACTGCTATTTGTTATAAAATCGGCATTATAATCTCCACCATTAACAACATGTCATTATCATTGATAAAATTTAGCAAGCTATCAAACAAAGTTAAAAAACAAACATTTCCACTACAGCGCTTAGAGTTGTATTATTTGAAAACCTATTTTAAGACCTACAAAATTATGAGTCTGGCCTTTTTCACCATAATCTTGCCTAAGAAATCTTAATCCATTTCTGAAATCAAATCTCTCAAAAATTGTCTTCTAAGGCCAAAAAGGAGATGAGTATACTGCTTCCTTGTGCTGCAACTTGATTCCAACCATATAAGAATAACTCTTATTGGAGCATTTATACAAATCAGATATATACAGGGTGTCCGCAAAGTTGGGGTTTCCTTTTCAGAAATAACCAAGGTAAAGGGTAGTGAAACGAGGGCGACCAAGTAAAAAAAAATAAAGGAAAAAGTACTCACTCTCCAGTTGACGAGAAGGGCTAAGTACGTCTCTGCCCGAAATCATACCGCTCCAACAGAAAATGAAATCAGCTGATGCGCTACCGAGCAGACGCAGGCAAACAAGGAAGGCAAAATGTTGCGTAAAAAGTCTAGGTATTGCATCCCGTCCAATCGATTTGGGATAATAAATGGTCCAATGAGCATACCGTTCACCATGCCAGCCCAAACATTCACCGAAAATGTTTGTTGAAAATGTACCCGACGGACAGCGTGCGGATTTTCTACTGACCAAATATGAGTGTTGCGAAAGTTATTCACCCCATTACGCGTGAACGCAGATTCGTCTGTCACCAATATGCACTTCAAAAAGTCCGGATTACTGTCATGTTGATGCAACAACCACTCACAAAAACGCACTCTTGCTGGAAAATCGTCAGGTTGAAGGGCTTGTACACGTTGGACGTGAAACGGATACAGCCCCTCTTCACGCAGCGTTTGCCACACTTTAGTTTTTGATACTTGCACTTCTCTAGCCACGTCTCTAGTGCTTGTTGAGGGATTCTCGTCTACGCGATTACCTCTACACGCGTGACCGTAACCGTCGGTTGCATACTGACCTGACACACTGACCCCGACCCAGTTATGTCGTCGGGTTGAGCTAGTGTCCTAGCACCACTGGGAGATGTCGCGGATACAGGACGGTATTCAGATATTTTTGATGTTGCAGAGCCCTTTATCTCGGTTACCTTAAGACATTGATGTATGTATTATGGTACTAAGAAAAATTGCTTATGTTTTCAAGATCTACACGTCGTGTAAAGGAAACCCCCAACTTTGCGGACGCCCTGTATACAAAACAAAAACAACACTCCAAAAGGCTGAGGATTGGCATTGCTATTTTAACCGTCGCCTACAGCACAATTCCAAAGCGAATCAGCAAGTTAAAATTTTTTAAATTTTATGTAATCATGAGCTTCAGCTTATGTCCTAATTTTATAGTAATGTTCTAAAATGGAGGTACCAACGTCAATACAATAGTAAATCGCTTGTTAATAATCTGTGGGTTTAAAAGCTTGTAACTGGAGCAGCACGTTATTAAATTGATTCAACAAATGAGAAATGACGCTGCATTTTGGCTACAGTGAAGAAATTAGAGTTCAATGTTCATCCCAAAGTTATAATTAACTCTCAAGTATTTGTACTTTATTAGATATTAATAATGATATATGATGATTATGTGAATTTCATTGATTGTATTTCATTATAAAAAACATTTGAAAATTGTTATGACACTAAACTATAAGTTTATGTCAAAATATATTCAAAATTATCTACTATATCATTAAAACTTTTAGGTGATCCTAAAGCCGCTTTAGGCTATATTTTGGAGTAAAAAGTTAAAAACAATATGATCGAAGTTACCCAAATTTTGATTTGAATTTATTTGTGGACCAAAAGAGTAAATCTGTTTTTTTAAGATCGTTGTGGTGCACTGTCAATATTTTTTCACATCTTCACCCAGGATTCAAGGGTTAGTCTGAAGAAAAATTTCGAGACTTTCATATGTTATCCCGGCTTTTTGAGATCATCCTTGAGTCCTCAATTAGCCGTTTATTACTGCCTAAAATGTTATAGATGAGATATTGATCCATTTTTATTTTGACCATTGTTCAGCCCTTAATTCCAGGCTAAAAAGATATGAGAAGTACCAATCGTTTTGGCTGTGGCATCGTGTGCTGCTAACTTTTAAAATAGCAGAACGCAGCATTAAGTTAACAGACGTGAATGCAACGATTCGCCGACGTTGCTGGCCCGCGCAATGCTCCCATGTATGAGCTAGCTCCTAGTAAATTACTAATGCCTACTACAGTAATATCGCAAACGTCAGAGTGACTGTCAAAATCCAGGTATCATTTTGATTTTTAGGATTATGGCTTCTTCTACTTCCATTGATGGGGATGGGGATACCTTTGGCAGTCTGATTTTTATGAGGAAAAAAGATGGATACCCAGTTCCATTCGACCTAAGACCTGGGCAGGTTACATTTGGCGGAGGAGATAATGCAGATATCCGATTAAAAATTGCGGATGAACGGTTGCGGGACATGCATTGTTTTATTTATATAGATGAAAATGGAGTGGTAAGTTTAATAACGTACATATTTAGAGTTGATCACAAATCACCTATAATGGTGTTTCTATTACTAATTGAAATACAAAAAATACGTCATAGTACAGAGCATAAAAACTACTGAGTTCCAAAAAGAGTAATGTTGACCAAATATGTGAAAACAAGTTTCGATGGTTCTTTATGTGCCGCCAATTATTGTCCTCTTGATGTCAGTGGTGCGCTAAAAGGGTCATCGCGTCGTCTACTGCAAAGTTTTGGCGTCATGCCAGTTATAAAAAACCGTGCATTAAAAATCGTGTTTTGAAAACCAAGTGAACAATTAAATCCTATTGGTATAAGGTTGTCAGCCTATGACAGAGTTCAGTTTCATGAAGCTAGTGGTCGATTCTGATAATGGATGGCACTTTGGGCTGTCTTATTTCAATCATACAATTTGTTTATAAAATATGATAGTGAACAACTCGAAGCAGTTTGAATCAATATATGATCATTAATTTTTAATTTCTAGGCCACAGTAGTCAACAAAGCTGGTGATGATACGGTTAAAGTAAATGACGGGCCAGTGAAAAAGATGCATGTGTTAGATCATCAAGATGCGATAGATGTTTTTGGAAAGATATTCCTATATGAAAATGAGAATTTACGGTGTGATGTAAGTTTATCATGTAGTTTACTATCAATTTCAAATGTTAACTGTCTGGAAAAACGGACGTTAATGGCGACCCATTGTGTGGGATATAAGTATGTAAGGACAGCAATAATAAATACAATGTTTGAATTGATATTACATTGGCTTTCTTTGATTATGAGTATTTTGACATGCAAAAGTAATTAAAAAACTCCACCCATTCAAAACATTAACTGCCAGAAGATTGGACGTTAAAGACGATACATTATATAGGACACTTCTAGCCAAGATTGTAAAGACAATAAAAATTACAATGTTTGAGTTATTATAAAATAAAAAAAAAACTGATGTTTTGTTTACTAATGTTGATGAAAAAACAACAAATGTGTTTTTTGCATACGAAAGTAATTAAAAGACGTAGATGTAGTGTGTAAAATTGACCATACGTACCATTGACGTCGTGATGGGTACAAGAGAGTAGCGCGATAAGCGTGCAAAACGTGAGTTAGAAAGATAGAAGCATTTCGTTGCCTAGCAGTCCGACTGACGAGGTCACGGATGCCATCGGCTAGCTCTTTCTTACATATTGGACGCTTCTCTCTCGTACACATTACGTCAGCCAAATTTGAACCTCAAGTACTTGAATGCGCTTCGAAGCGCGTCACGTATTAACAGCATGTATGGTTCGAACGCTCTTAGAATATGACCGCTACGTCATCGTGGGCGGGTCCGCTCATCACGCGGTCTTCGACAGAGCGCAGTGGCGTTCTATTTTATTTGAAGAATAAAATAAAGTGAATAGGTTGTGTAGACATTGATCATTAATTGATTTTTGTATTATTATATTCATTTAGTATGCGCATTAAGTTGTTCGGAAGCAAATTTGAATTAGAAGAGGGAGCAAACTAAAGACGGTTATAATTCAAATTATATATTATCATTAAAAAATCTAATCGCTATCAGATGATAGTGTGTTTAGCTTCAAATCTTCATCTGAGTCGCTTTCGTCACTATCTTCTGATGATGACCCTGTGTTCACATTGAATTGATACGTATCCATTTGATCGTCGAGAAGATGTTCTTTTTCCATTTGTGCTTGCTCATATTTTTTCACGTGGTTACAAATTTTCTTCCACTCATCTGCTCCAATTTCTTCAAACCTGCTACGGGTCAGATGCTCCACATCAGACAACCTAAATGTCACATTTCGTGGAGCAACCCAGTTTTTTACGAGAGCCCAAATCTTTTCGATTGGGTTTAGCTCCGGATGATATGGAGGCAGTCGTAAAACTTTATGCCCGTGCTGTTCCATTAACGCATCTAGCTTGTATTTGACTGGAAATCTTCTTTTATTTTCCTGTATTTTTTTATATAGTTCGGCCTTAGTCAATGAGTTTTCACTAGGAATTTGATGTTTTTCTAGCCAGTCAATCATCTCTGATTTCAGGCTAGAAGACGTTACATTTTTTTCTTCCAGGACATTGTGATAAGAAGAATATCAACAAGGCGTTAGGAATAAAGCCGAATTCTCCACCAGCATGCACAATAATCATTCGTTGTCCTTTTGATAAAGGCGTTTTAGTTCCTTGTCATAATTGTCATCTGACCATCCTTTTTTTGGGGTATGACTAGAATGTATATATGTTTCATCCGTATAAATTATGTTCCTGTTCTCAGCTCATATTTCATAATTTGCTTCAGATATTCGATACGCTTCAAGCGAATTTCATATTTTTCCATGAGAGCTCTTTTATTATCAGTAGTTCTTTTCCATCTGTAGATATAAATTATATTTATAGCGTTGTAAATCGAAAACCTTATAGTGTGTATGAATACTGACCTAAAGCCCATTTGTTTCAAAAGTTTGTTCAAAGTCGTTATTTTACCCTCAAAATTAAGGTGTCGATCTTGCATTTTTTGGTAAATACCTAAAAAATCTTAAAATGAAATATGACTAGATGCTACGGTTACAATTTAAAAACTTACATTTCAGCGAAGGTCTTCTTTTCTCCAAAATATAAAAATCGTATATGATTGCTTTCATTTCTTCAATTTGGCCTGCAGTCACTTTATCCACAACAGGTGATTTTCGTTGCCGCTTTTTAGATGGGGATGAAAATGAAAAGTTGCTTGAATATTATTCCATCTCTGCTCTCTTTAGCTATTTTTTGATAAGTACATTTACTTATACCCGTGGCAGCTAACACACGTTTCCTAAATGGGTTAATCAGTTTTAATTGACAATAATTATAAAAATCTTTTACATTCATACATACCGGTATTGTTGAAGTGGAAACTTTAATCCCTCTACACTTTCCTGTACCATGAAGTTATTGACATTGTTGATAATTTCCTTTCCTTGACTCCCAATCGCCTTTCCTTTCACGCCAATCTCTTTCACAGACATTGTTTAGATCACTGGTTCAAAACTATTAATAATTTAAATTTGAACAATAGTAAAAATTTCCACTATATTGCAATCTATTTGACAATTTTTACACACGGTGCCTTGTTCAAATTAGTTTACAAACTGAACTTATGACTAACGGACAGGTTTATATATCTGTTGCAGGTAAAATAAATGTGATTGATTAACACTCATCCTCTTAACGCTACTTACGAACGAAGGGATTTAGCAACCGGGAATTATTCCAGGTAGTTCAATTTTACACTTGTTATTATTAGATTTGTTTCTACTAATTTTGTTTACCCTGGCTTGATATTGGTATTAGCCTATTTATCTAGGTACTAATGATGCACTCTAGGAAATCTCATGATTGGTATAGATATAAGCGGATCACAGTCTTAGGATTAATTTAATTTCTTTCAGTTGTTTGCCAACTTTGGGGTTTTACCCTTCAATATTGTGTCTATTATATGTAGGTAGTTCACTATTTTAAATTTTGATTTATGGATCTCCATCAAATATCCACAAACCCCATAAGATTAATAATTTTCAACACAATCAAATATAAAATATGATATGGTTAATAAATAAGTCGAAGAAACGTCAACAATCTCAACTGACTGAAACTTGCGTATCTACATACTAAAAAACGTTCCGCCTATGGCTTTCTGAGAGTGGGATGTCCCTTAACAGCGTCAACAGCAACATAATTTCTGGACATTGAAGACCACATACATTTTTAAGCTTTCTACGATATAAATATTCGCCACGATTAGAACTGGACCACATTAAGAGGGCGGTAACAGATGTCCATAAATCTTACCAGAGACTGTCACAACAATTTTCTATATTCTTATAGGGTACAATCGACGCAAGGGAGAGGGTATAAAGTGATGACGTAGCGGGCATAACCTTAGGCTGTTCGAACTCTAGTACGCGCGTTGTTTCGCAGCGCGTCAATTTAACGTCGGTATGTCCCGGCAGTTACAATACCTATGAACTGTTACCTGACACTATACATTCTATACTACAAATACATCATTCACTGAAATATTTTCAGGAAGTACAAACAGGAAATGCTGTACCCGGTAGTATATCTTCCAGACATACTATACATGTGTTGGCACAGAAAACGAGCCCTACAAAGAGTCCTACTTTGAAGTGAGTATGATTATCGAATAAGAATATATAATTTTAATATTTCAATGAAACGTAGCAGCTTGAGGCACTCATCCCAGATGTAAGAATACTATCATTTGTAACAAGTTTGATTATTTCACTATGCTACTTCTCATGCCAAATATGCATGCCTTTATTTTTTTTTCTTTCGATTACCTACGTAAGCACATATTCATGAATGTCTTTATTTTTTCAAATGGATATTTAAAAGTACAATGCCAATGACGTCGGTTTAAAACTCTAAAACTCTCTCTAAAACTATTATTGGCGCGCTTCACAGTGGCGTCACAACTGATGATGTCATTTGTTTGCGTTTTTTGTTAATTTCATATAATGATTTGCTGCTAAGTTTCCGAAGGTTTTATTTTATATCGCCAAATCTTATTTCAAAAAAGAAAAGCATGGTTGAAGAACGAACGCCAGCATTCCACCCATGTGCAAAAATGCGGTATGGAAAGTCCCAGATGAACTATTTTTTCCATATTCCGTGAGATGCTAAGATATGAGAAAAGTGGTGTAAAATTATGAAGAGGTACAATGTATTTCCAAGAAGTAATTGAATTTTTAGTTAGATTTAAAAGATTATACTAAGATTTTTTTTCACTTGCGATTTAATTACATTAGATCCAACAATCTTCTAGTTTTTGGGTTATGCCCTTGTTTTTTTTTTTGTTGTTTATTTATTGCCATTATATTATGTAGGTTGACAATCGGTGACAGTGAGAACATTTTAAATCGGACGGACATCAGTAAAGTGTTGGCTGGTCACAATTTGAAATGGTGATGTCATTCTGTAGCGAGATTAATAAAAAATAACCAATATTTGAATCGCATGCATATTCTCTATTGGCGAGTATGTAATCGCGAAAAATTTCGAAATTGAGGTTTTTGGATGTTACGTGATATGCCCGGCTATAAATTGATCCCTCTTTGAACTTTTTTGCAGAAACTTTTTGAAAAAAAACCTTGTATACAAAAGAGGTATGGTATAGTAAAGTTTTTCAGTCAACAGGTATCTTATATATATATATACAGCATCTCTCAGAAAAAAGCTAACGAATTTTTTGATGGAAAACCCTGTATACTTGTAGACGAATTCGCTTTTTTCTAGTTCTAAATAGACAGTAATGGACAAACGTATATAGACAAATTAATATTGTGCTGTATTTCTTTTTTAACTTGTTTTATAAATACACCAACCTGTATACATAATTCGTTATAGCATAATACTCACTCGTATCCCTTCAATAAAAAATTAATTGAAAAAACTGGAACTATGAAGGACAAACATATATAGACAAAGCAAAACAATTATAGAAAAAAGAAGCAAAGTTCAATGAATTATAGAAAACCAAGCATATTTGTGTTAATATTTTAAAGCATAACCATTACTATCCTAGCATCGTCTCGGCATAGATTGTAGAAGTTTCTTGATATAGGATTCATCAATCTGTCTCCACTTGCTTTAAAGCGGCAAAAAGTTCATCCTTGTTTGAATAATTTTTATCTCGTATTTGCTTATCTAAGTATTCCCATAGATTTTCAATGGGGTTTATATCGGAAGACTGTGAAGGCCATTTGAGAACTGGTATTTTTTCATCGAGAAAGAATTTCTTTGCGAGATTTCAAGTGTGCTTCGGGTCATTATCTTGCTGGAAGATTGATCTTAAGGGCATATTGTCTTCCATATAGGGTAACATAACATGCTTTAGTATGTCTGTGTATTCAGACTTATCCATAATGCCATCTATTCTATGTAAAGGTCCCATCCCAAACCCCGAAAAGCAGCCCCAAACCATAACCGACCCCCTCCATGTTTGACAGTGGGCAAAGTGTACTTGGGGTTCAGTGTTTGTCCACTAGGACGTCTATCGTAATGACCACCATCAAATCCAAACATATTAAACTTGGATTCGTCACTGAAGCATACCCTCTTCCAGTCACAGATGCTCCAATTAAGATGCAACCGTGCAAATTGTAATCGGCAATGTCGACTTGACGTTGATCGTCTTTGTGTAACTCAATGATCTTAGTTATCACATCGAAAGAAATTTCTGGACCACGCGGCATGGTCTTAAAATCACTCAACTTATTCCACAATACTTGATGAACACAAACCATTCCTCTTCTGACACGAAACCGTACTAATGTTGAAAAGAATTTGTCTACATATACTAAGTGACATATAAATCCGAATGTGTGGATGCACCCTGATGTGCTACGCATTCTCCAACGCGCCTAGGCATGCTTCTGATCAGGTGGTCAATGTCCTCCTGTGGTATCTCATTCCAGGCAACCACCAACTCCTCTCGAAGTGCTTCTGGAGTCTGAGGAGGACGTTGCAAATTGAGCAATCTCCTACCCATCATATCCCACACGTGCTCAATTGGGGATAAGTCGGGAGATCTTGGTGGCCATGGTAACAATGTGACATCATTATGTTGAAAGAAGTCTATTGTGACTCTTGCAACATGTGGTCGGGCATTATCTTGTTGGAAAGTTGGATCTGCCAGGGTGTCAAGATAGGGTAAAAGATGGGGTTCTAGAACTTCGTGGATATAACGCTGCACGTTCATGTTACCTCTGATGAAGATTAAAGGTGACCTGGAACCATAAGCTATAGCACCCCAAACCATAACTCCAACAGTGTGATGAACATGTCTTTCAACAAAAAACTGTGGATTCCTCCTTTCACCACGTCGCCTTCTAACCCTGGCACGACCATCGTGCATGCCTAAACAAAATCGAGACTCGTCACTAAAGACAATACTGTTCCATTCCTGATCCCAGAGTGACCGTTGTCTGCACCACTCAAGGCGATTACGTCGGTGTTCTCGAGTTAAAGGAAGGACCCAGTTTGGCCGGTATGAAAACAAGCCAAAACTTCTCATTCGTCGGTAAACACTTCGCATGCCAATAGGTCTTCCGTGTTCTGCAAACCATTCATTTGCAATGGACCTGGTAGTGGAGAAACGGTCCAATAATCTTAGGCGGCGATCTTCACGGTCTGTTGTTCTACGGCGGCGTCCAGTGCCCCTTGCTCTTTGCGTACGGCCTTCTCGAAGCCATGCCTGACAACACCTAACCGCAGTGCCTACACTTCTTTGCACTCTAACTGCAATTGCCCGAAAAGAAAGTCCAGCTTCCCGAAGTCCCACTATACGACCCCTATCAAACTCACTAAGTTGACGAAATCGTACAGGTCTCCGTACTCTAGGCATCGTAACCGATCGTAAAGGATGTCAAGAACCACAATCCGCCAACGTTGATTCTTTACTGCGGCTGAAATATTCATTTTTAGAGCGTTAGTGAATTAAAAAAAAGCAGTATAAAAAGCGGAATGTCCAACTGATAAGGCTGAAAATTTTTTCACTTGTTATTTACAGTAAGATAAATACATTCACCAACTTTTATTAAAATAAAACCATTTAAACTGGGTGTTCGGATTTATATGTCACTTACTATATAGACAAAGCGAAACAATTATAGAAGAAAGAAGCAAAGTTATTGAATTATAGAAAACCAATCATGTTTGTGTTAATATTTTGTGGGATAACCATTATTATCAATCATAGCCTGGCATCGTCTCGGCATAGTTTGTAGAAGTTTCTTGATATAAGATGCATCAATCTGTCTCCACTTTTGCTCTAAAGCGGCAAAAAGTTCATCCTTGTTTTAATAATTTTTATCTCGTATTTTTCCTTATCTAAGTAGAAAGAAAGAATTTCTTTGCGAGATTTGAAGTGTGCTTCGGGTCATTATCTTGCTGGAAGATTGATCTTAAGGGCATATTGTCTTCTATATAGGGTAACATGACATGCTTTAGTATGTCTGTGTATACAAACTTATCCATAATGCCATCTATTCTATACTAAAAGACATATAAATCCGAACACCCAGTTTAAATGGTTTTATTTTAATAAAAGTTGGTGAATGTATTTATCTTAATGTACATAACAAGTGAACAAATTTTCAGCCTTATCATTTGGACATTCCGGTTTTTATACTGTTTTTTTTTTAATTCACTAACGCTCTAAAAATGAATATTTCAGCCGCAGTAAAGAATCAACTTTGGCGGATTTTAGTTCTTGACATCCTTTACGATCGGTTACGATGCCTAGAGTACGGAGACCTGTACGATTTCGTCAACTTAGTGATTTTGATAGGGGCCGTATAGTGGGACTTCGGGAAGCTGGACTTTCTTTTCGGGCAATTGCAATTAGAGTGCAAAGAAGTGTAGACACTGTGGTTAGGTGTTGTTAGGCATGGCTTTGAGAAGGCCGTACGCAAAGAGCAAGGGGCACTGGACGCCGCCGTAGAACAACAGACCGTGAAGATCGCCGCCTAAGATTATTGACCTTAAGGGACCGTTTCTCCACTACCAGGTCCATTGTTAATGAATGGTTTGCAGAACACGGAAGACCTATTGGCCTGCGAAGTGTTTACCGACGAATGAGAAGTTTTGGCTTGTTTTCATACCGGCCACACTGGGTCCTCCCTTTAACTCGAGAACACCGACGTAATCGCCTTGAGTGGTGCAGACAACGGTCACTCTGGGATCAGGAATGGAACAGTATTGTCTTTAGTGACGAGTCTAGATTTTGTTTAGGCATGCACGATGGTCGTGCCAGGGTTAGAAGGCGACGTGGTGAAAGGAGGAATCCACAGTTTTTTGTTGAAAGACATGTTCATCATACTGTTGAAGTTATGGTTTGGGGTGCTATAGCTTATGGTTCCATGTCACCTTTAATCTTCATCAGAGGTAACATGAACGTGCAGCGTTATATCCACGAAGTTCTAGAACCCCATCTTTTACCCTATCTTGTCACCCTGGCAGATCCAACTTTCCAACAAGATAATGCCCGACCACATGTTGCAAGAGTCACAATAGACTTCTTTCAACATAATGATGTCACATTGTTACCATGGCCACCAAGATCTCCCGACTTATCCCCAATTGAGCACGTGTGGGATATGATGGGTAGGAGATTGCTCAATTTGCAACGTCCTCCTCAGACTCTAAAAGCACTTCGAGAGGAGTTGGTGGTTGCCTGGAATGAGATACCACAGGAGGACATTGACCACCTGATCAGAAGCATGCCTAGGCGCGTTGGAGAATGCGTAGCACATCAGGGTGCATCCAGACATTATTAAAGGTCAAAGGGCTTTAAAGCAGTGCAATCATTTTGAAATTTTTATCATTTACTTATTATGCTTCATTAAGTACTTATCCAAAATTTTATTAAGATAAAACCATTTAAACTGGGTGTTCGGATTTATATGTCACTTAGTATATGTAAAGGTCCCATCACAAACCCCGAAAAGCACCCCCAAACCTTAACAGACCCGCCTCCATGTTTGACAGTAGGCAAAGTGTACTTGGTGTTCAATCTTTGTCCACTAGGACGTCTAACGTAATGGACACCATCTGATCCAAACATATTGAACTTGGATTCGTCACTGAAGCATACCCTCTTCCAGTCACAGATGCTCCAATTAAGATGCAACCGTGCAAATTGTAATCGGTCCTTACGGTTTTTCCTCAAGATTAGCGGCTTCTTACTCGAGCGACGTGCAAATAACTTCAAATCATTTAATCTTCTACTTATAGTTTTCCTAGAAACACTGACAATTCCTTTTGTCTCGATTTCGGCTTTTATTTGTCTTGGGGTTTTAAACGGATCTTTGGACGAAATTACTTATATTAATCTAACTGATCTAGCATGTAGTTTTCTAGGCCTGATCACTTCTCTTAGAGGCTTCCAAGATACCTTTTTGTTTATATTTGTTCAATATTGCCCAAACTGCTTTACGCTTCAGCTTCAAATTGTTGACAATGTCGACTTGACGTTGACCATCTTTGTATAACTCAATGATCGTATAGTTTTCACATCTGAAGATATTTCTGGACCATGCGGCATGGTATTTAAATCACTCAACTTATTCCACAATACTTGATAAACACAAACTAATCCTCTTCTGACACGAGACTGCACTAAAGTAATGTTGAAAAGAATTTGTCTACATATCTTTGTCCCTCATAAAAAAGTGCTTATATTCAGACTTGTATTGTGTTCATTGCAGATAATGTAAAAACAAGGAATTTAGTTTTTCTACTAATAGCGGATTTGTTTATGGAGCAATGAGGTATGAATTCGTTTTCTAAAGGTATTTAGCTAAATATTCATATTTGTCTATATACTTTTGTCCATTACTAAACGTTTAGCTTCGTCTAGCCACTTCTAAAATTGTACCGTCAACGTATGAGTACTCCTAATCTATTCTTGTCACTGTCAGTGTGACAACCCAGTTGACATGGGTCTACCATTTTGAGTTTATCTGTTATTAACCATTGTAATACCTGAAAATACAGCTAACGGACAATATCAATAGTTTTTTCCAAAATTATTGTAATATTTTGAGAAAGTCAATGAAAGCAAGGGTCCTTTTTTAGTTAATTCATATGTGCCAGAGCAGCTGCGTTTAAGATCAGTTTACCCAGTACGCAATACTTCTATGGAGCTTAAGCTCCTCACATGGTTCGCTTAGCCGGCTTGCTTACTTTTCGTATGGCATTGATGATGTAACCGCCAAAAACCATGGAAAGAACTGTATCTAAATACATGTGCTGACAGGGGTATTTACGTTTTCCTGCAAAATGTCAACCAGGATCTAGCTGTTGTTCACTTCATTCTCACTTGTAGCAGGCGCGAAATGAACTGTTTGTACACTGTCAACAGGTTATTTAATTTATTTTTTTCTTGACATTACATAGGTTTTTCACGTAATAACCCTGCCGATCAGTTTGCACTAGATGCTCTCTGTATAAACAGTCCCCAATAATTTTTTTGCAGCCCAAGACAAGTCTACGCACCAGTCGTGGAAGATGCGTCTCCCGCGACACCCCCGAATTCGAAGGGTGATGACGCGATCAAAACGCCTCTCAATACTCCTGGCCTATTCGAAGATCTTAGGAAGAGCGTTCTACAGTCTAGAACGAGGAGATCCGGCAAGAAAGAAGAGCCTGCTGTTGAAGAAAGCGAGCAGAATATCAACAATAAAAGGGGCAGGAATTCTAGCATAGCTTCTCAAAGCTCTGTGAAGAAAAGGAGGACGATAACGTACTCAGTTGAAGACGCTTCTGAGGTTGAGGTAATCATTTGAGTTTCTCTTTACTAAAAAGAATCAGAAATCTAGGCTGACGTTTAAAGGACGTCATACATTTAAAACAAAATCCTAATGATCAGATGACTATATTCTTCTTTCAGATGGTAGAAGAAAGTGTCGAGTCTTTCAACAACTGAAGATTGGCCTGAAATATCTCAAGACCAAACAGACCATGAGCATAGGCTTTCTGATCTGACAATTGCTTCTTTTGCGAATCAACCATTCTCAACGGTCTGGTCTGAACCGAGAGTAAGGCAAATGAAGTATGTACGACTATCCAGGCACAATAAAACTATCGCTGTGGACAATCTCGATGGTCCGGAACCAATCGTCAAATGTAGTTTCCTCTTGGAGAACGGACTTCGAGAAGATCTGTTAGACAAATCTCCCAAACCTTCGACTAGCAATTTCGTCAAGTCCACTACCTCGGCCTCAAGTCACTTCATAAGGAACAAATCATTACTGATCGGCTCACCAGCCTCTCCAAAACTGAATGTTTCTGAAAATCTTTCCAAATTTGTCGGATTGAAACAGCTGATGCGCAGGCGCACAAGTCCTTCTGATATATTCGGAATAAAAAATTTTATGTCGGCTCAAAACAAGTCACCGAAGAATGACACAATCCTGGATTCTATGGATCAAACAATAGTAACTGATTCTTCTAGATCGAGTAGAACTCTGAAATTGACTGAAAATGCCAAGGCTATAAAGTCTCCCAGACTATCTACGAATTTTACCAGCACTCCGCTAGATGCTATGAAGAGATCGATGTCTACGCCGAGATCAATGAAAAAACTTGAATATGAAATTCTTGATCTAAGCGCAGTAAAAACGCCTAGCAGTGAATTACAAACACGTGCATCCAAGACATCTGTGACGGAAAACGCTCAAAATTATTCTACAAGAACTAATAAGGTTTTAGCAAGCTCAATTCCAAACGAAACTGTAGACGCCGATAAGACCAAAAGATTGTCTCGAGCATCAAGCCGATTTGATTCGTCTGAATATGAATTACTAGATCTATCGAAAACGGTTCGAGTAGATCAATCACGTAAGGGCTTGTTAAATACTAGCGGAAAAAGAACACTAAAAAATGTGTTCCTAAATGGCAATGGACCCAAGAACTCCATTTTATCAGCTAGAGGAATCAACTCTCTCCTAGTGAAGAATGCAGTGGAGACTCTAAAGACGTATGCAAGCCTCCCAGACTTGAACGCAGCTGTCACAAGATCTACAGCTAATACTTCCAAAAGGTCACTGTCAACATCTAAACATCGGAACTCCGCTGAAACATTCGATGTTGAAAAAGATAAATCAGTCATTGATCAGTACGTAGTACGACGATGACCTTCAAGAAGTCAGCAAAACCAGAAAATCTTCGTCAACTTCTCAAGAATTGGATTCGCCTGACATTGAGATTAAAAGGAGAAGTTGGTCATTGAGAAGCTCAAAATCGAATACTCGAGCAGGCGGTGACGATTTAGAAATCAATAGGTCCACGAGACGGTCAAGCGCATATCAGTATCCAGCTGATTATATTAGTATTGATCTGTCAGGAATCAGTGGGTCTCTCATAAGTCTCAAAACATCAAGTAGTGATCAGAGCCCTGATGTAATTAAAATCTGTGATCTAGTCGACAACTTATTGGAAGCACCGAGTGATATCCGATATGATGAAGGCACTGTTGAAGCAGATGTAACAGAATCATTGTCTAGAAAACAAAGTGCTTCCAGAAAATCTCTGAAAAATAGTGATTCCTTCCCACGTAATGCAAGAAGATCAAGTGTGGTAGCAGATTATGAGATTCCCAATCATACTAGAACAAGTTCACTAAGCCAAAAGTCTGCATCTGAGACTAGTTTGATAAATATAAATAATCCAAGAGTTTCCATGTCATTTTCAAGGAGGCTGACAAAAACACCAACTGCTGGTGTCGTAACACCTCTTTGTGAATCTGGTGCTTGGGAAACCGTTCAATCGAGGAAGTCGTCGCCTGACATCAACCAACTTGAGATGAGCTTAATACGAGTATTAAAAACAGGCAGTGGAAATAATGAAAAGCTCGTATCAAGCGTGTTAACAGATGAGATTCCCGATTATACTAGAACAAGAACAAGTTCACTAAGCCAAAAGTCTGCATCACCTCTTTGTGAATCTGGTACTTGCGAAACCGTTCAATTGAGGAAGTCGTCGCCTGACATCAACCAACTTGAGATGAGCTTAATACGAGTATTAAAAACAGGCAGTGGAAATAATGAAAAGCTTGATTCAAGTTCGAGAAGATCAATGGCAGATTCAAGCATACATGATCTTCGTGGAGTGAAGAACCTACTTAAAACACCCAAAGTTTCAAAATCTCCCGAGAACGATTTGTCGGACGTTCGTGGAGTAAAGAAACTGTTTCAAACTCCTAGAGTACAAAAGTCTCCCAAGAATGATCTGTCGAACATTGGTGGAGTGAAGAAGTTACTCAAAACACCCAAGGTCCCAAAATCCCCCAAGAACGATCTTTCGAACATTGGTGGAGTGAAGAAGTTACTCAAAACACCCAAACTCCCAAAATCTCCCAAGAACGATCTGTCCGACATTCGTGGGGTAAAGAAACTGCTTCGAACGCCTAAAGTACAAAAATCTCCCATGAACGATCTGTCGGACATTCGTGGGGTGAAGAACTTACTCAAAACACCCAAAGTCCCAAAATCCCCCAAAAACGATCTGACCGACATTCGTGGGGTAAAGAAACTGCTTCGAACGCCCAAAGTACGAAAATCTCCCAAGAATGATCTTAGCAACATCGTCCCGTTGAAAATGTTAATGTCTACTCCAAAACCGCAAAAAGAACATATTAACGATTTATCTAACGTGTCTGGGGTTAAAGACCTGTTCATTGAAAAACAAGAAGAACTATTTGATTCTGTGTTCAACAAGAAACCGGTACAGAAAACACGAGGTAAGAAAAGGAAAGTTGCAGAACCAGCCAAAGTAGAAGTCGATCAAAACAAAGTAGTGAAGACAGCTGGCAGGCCAAGAAGACACTTGAAAACCAAAATTGAAGAAAGTGTTACTTCAAGCGCGAGCAAAACGAATGTAGATGAATCAGTGAAACCAATCAGCAGATCCAAGCGAAATGAGAAGGCTGAAAATGGAGAAAGTATTAAGAACATTAACAAAAGGACCGAATCTGAAACTGCCAGCAGATCAGGAGATAACAAAGAAAAGGAGATCGAGAAAAATGACTCTGAAGATAAACCTATGAGAATTACAAGAGGTAAAAAAAAAGTTGTTAACCCTAGCCTTAACGACGAAACCACAAGCAGAAGACCGAAAAAAGATCAAACTGTGATCAATCTGTGAAAGAAACCTTTCATAATATTATGAAAGGTTTCTTGTTTAAACTTTACATACACAGTTGTAGACGAAAAAGCACCGATTATTAAGTGATAATAAAAATAATCGGAGATTATATACGCGCTTTTTTAAAATAAACAACTTGCAACAAAACCGCGGTTAAAACCGACGCGTTCAAGCGATTCGTGTAACTGACGTCATCAACCCGTGAACCATATTATAACCGCGGCATATAACACAGACATTTTGGTTATTCGCTTGGTTTGATTCTTGTATATTTAACTATTTTGATATGATTCTAGAATTTACCTTCAATCTCCTTTACTTTCTTATTTTTTAATCGCCGGTGCTGAACAGGCGTAGTAGCTTGTCTCACATGTCTCCTAAAATAGGTAGGATCTTTCTCTTCTTCAACATCTTCCTCATTGAGTGTAGCCTTTTCTGTCTACCTTTAGTAACTTTCACAGATTCAACAGTTTGATCTTTTTTTGGGTCTTCTGCTTGTGGTTTCGTCGTTAAGGCTAGGGTTAACAACTTTTTTTTTACCTCTTGTAATTCTCATAGGTTTATCTTCAGAGTCATTTTTCTCGATCTCCTTTTCTTTGTTATCTCCTGATCTGCTGCCAGTTTCAGATTCGGTCCTTTTGTTAATGCTCTTAATACTTTCTCCATTTTCAGCCTTCTCATTTCGCTTGGATCTGCTGATTGGTTTCACTGATTCATCTACATTCGTTTTGCTCGCGCTTGAAGTAACACTTTCTTCAATTTTGGTTTTCAAGTTTCTTCTTGGCCTGCCAGCTGTCTTCACTACTTTGTTTTGATCGACTTCTACTTTGGCTGGTTCTGCAACTTTCCTTTTCTTACCTCGTGTTTTCTGTACCGGTTTCTTGTTGAACACAGAATCAAATAGTTCTTCTTGTTTTTCAATGAACAGGTCTTTAACCCCAGACACATTAGATAAATCGTTAATATGTTCTTTTTGCGGTTTTGGAGTAGACATTAACATTTTCAACGGGACGATGTTGCTAAGATCATTCTTGGGAGATTTTCGTACTTTGGGCGTTCGAAGCAGTTTCTTTACCCCACGAATGTCGGTCAGATCGTTTTTGGGGGATTTTGGGACTTTGGGTGTTTTGAGTAAGTTCTTCACCCAACGAATGTCCGACAGATCGTTCATGGGAGATTTTGGGAGTTTGGGTGTTTTGAGTAACTTCTTCACTCCACCAATGTTCGAAAGATCGTTCTTGGGGGATTTTGGGACCTTGGGTGTTTTGAGTAACTTCTTCACTCCACCAATGTTCGAGAGATCATTCTTGGGAGACTTTTGTACTCTAGGAGTTTGAAACAGTTTCTTTACTCCACGAACGTCCGACAAATCGTTCTCGGGAGATTTTGAAACTTTGGGTGTTTTAAGTAGGTTCTTCACTCCACGAAGATCATGTATGCTTGAATCTGCCATTGATCTTCTCGAACTTGAATCAAGCTTTTCATTATTTCCACTGCCTGTTTTTAATACTCGTATTAAGCTCATCTCAAGTTGGTTGATGTCAGGCGACGACTTCCTCAATTGAACGGTTTCGCAAGTACCAGATTCACAAAGAGGTGATGCAGACTTTTGGCTTAGTGAACTTGTTCTTGTTCTAGTATAATCGGGAATCTCATCTGTTAACACACTTGATACAAGCTTTTCATTATTTCCACTGCCTGTTTTTAATACTCGTATTAAGCTCATCTCACGTTGGTTGATGTCAGGCGATGACTTCCTCGATTGAACGGTTTCCCAAGCACCAGATTCACAAAGAGGTGTTACGACACCAGCAGTTGGTGTTTTTGTCAGCCTCCTTGAAAATGACATGGAAACTCTTGGATTATTTATATTTATCAAACTAGTCTCAGATGCAGACTTTTGGCTTAGTGAACTTGTTCTAGTATGATTGGGAATCTCATAATCTGCTACCACACTTGATCTTCTTGCATTACGTGGGAAGGAATCACTATTTTTCAGAGATTTTCTGGAAGCACTTTGTTTTCTAGACAATGATTCTGTTACATCTGCTTCAACAGTGCCTTCATCATATCGGATATCACTCGGGGCTTCCAATAAGTTGTCGACTAGATCACAGATTTTAATTACATCAGGGCTCTGATCACTACTTGATGTTTTGAGACTTATGAGAGACCCACTGATTCCTGACAGATCAATACTAATATAATCAGCTGGATACTGATATGCGCTTGACCGTCTCGTGGACCTATTGATTTCTAAATCGTCACCGCCTGCTCGAGTATTCGATTTTGAGCTTCTCAATGACCAACTTCTCCTTTTAATCTCAATGTCAGGCGAATCCAATTCTTGAGAAGTTGACGAAGATTTTCTGGTTTTGCTGACTTCTTGAAGGTCATCGTCGTACTACGTACTGATCAATGACTGATTTATCTTTTTCTACATCGAATGTTTCAGCGGAGTTCCGATGTTTAGATGTTGACAGTGACCTTTTGGAAGTATTAGCTGTAGATCTTGTGGCAGCTGCGTTCAAGTCTGGGAGGCTTGCATACGTCTTTAGAGTCTCCACTGCATTCTTCACTAGGAGAGAGTTGATTCCTCTAGGTGATAAAATGGAGTTCTTGGGTCTATTGCCATTTAGGAACACATTTTTTAGTGTTCTTTTTCCGCTAGTATTTAACAAGCCCTTACGTGATTGATCTACTCGAACCGTTTTCGATAGATCTAGTAATTCATATTCAGACGAATCAAATCGGCTTGATGCTCGAGACAATCTTTTGGTCTTATCGGCGTCTACAGTTTCGTTTGGAATTGAGCTTGCTAAAACCTTATTAGTTCTTGTAGAATAATTTTGAGCGTTTTCCGTCACAGATGTCTTGGATGCACGTGTTTGTAATTCACTGCTAGGCGTTTTTACTGCGCTTAGATCAACAATTTCATATTCAAGTTTTTTCATTGATCTCGGCGTAGACATCGATCTCTTCATAGCATCTAGCGGAGTCCTGGTAAAATTCGTAGACAGTCTGGGAGACTTTATAGCCTTGGCATTTTCAGTCAATTTCTTGAGAAGTTGACGAAGATTTTCTGGTTTTGCTGACTTCTTGAAGGTCATCGTCGTACTGCAGTGGCGGCTCGTGAGGTAGTGCCACGGTGCCATGGCACTACCTTGTCTTCTTCAAAAAGAATATTTTTTTCAATCTTCAATGTTTTACTTTATTTTCTGCTTTTTCATTTTTTTTTTTGGTATAAATTATATGAAGTGACAACACTGACAACGTGACAACACCGCAAGCACCCGAACCACGCGAGACGGAAAGCACGCCTTGACCTTGACGTCATCAACTTGTGCCAATTTTGGGCCGGCCCAAATAAAAAGAGAGAAATTTTACTAGCATCGCATACGAGCGACAGAGATAACGCTACCCTACACATTTTTATATGAGGTGAATAGCGAAAGACAAGTATAATTTGTGCCAGGCACATCATCAGTCGTAATTCGTTATCAAGTTTAGTGATATCGGCGGTGTTTTTGTTCGGTCGTTTCGTTATGATTACGTCTAGTGCTGATTTCGGTCTTTTTTACCTGAAAAGTGAAAAATACCTTTTTTGTTTTAGTACGTCTAGTGTTAATGAACTGCTCTGTTTTGTGATCATATTTTTTACTGTTTTATTAAAACTAGTGAAAATGAATAAAATCGGGATATTAAAAAACTCATTTAGTGGTTTTTCGCTGGATCTAAAACTGCAAATTAAAGAATTAGGACGGCCAATACCCGATTTAAAAATTGAGAAACAAAGTGGTAGCGGACAAAAATCGCGCTGTCGCAAATTTAATAAAAATGTGTACGATAAAAACAGCTGGATATGTGGTTGTGAAGAAACGAATAAACTATTTTGTTTTGTATGTGTTCTATTTGGAGGTGACGAGACTTGGTCAAAAAAAGGTACAGACGATCTTATACCTATATGGGATAAAATGAAGACCCACGAAAAATCTAAAGTCCATATGAATAATGTTTTTAGCTTTTCTATTCTTGGTAAATTAAATATAAGGACTCAACTCAATTCGGCTTATCACAATGATCTAATTAAACATAATAATCAAGTGGATAAGAATCGATATGTATTGAATAAAATTATTAATTGTATAAGGTTTTGTGGAGCATTTGAGTTAGCCTTAAGGGGTCACGATGAAAAGGAAAATTCGGAAAACAGAGGTATATTTAAGGAGCTGGTGAATTTTAGCGCCGAATTAGACAACGAATTGAAAGTCCATATTCAAAGTGCCAAACTTTTCAAGGGTACCTCAAAAACAACTCAAAACGAGCTTCTTGAGTGCATGCTAGATGTTTATCATGAAGAAGTTAAGAAGGAGATTGCAAATTCTCCTTTTGTTGCAGTAATTGCCGATGAAACGACTGACGTAGCCTGTGAATTTCAGTTAGTTATTATTTTCAGATATTTGTGTAAAGGACAACCAGTTGAGAGATTTTGGAGATTTTACGTCCCCGACGGACACGATGCCAAATCAATCGCTGCATGCGTTTTAAATGTTGTAAATCCATTACTAGATCAAAATCCAAACAAATTAATAGCTCAAAGCTATGATGGTGCGTCTGTTATGAGTGGTGAATTGAATGGCGTTCAAAAAATTATTAAGGAAACTTATCCACTTGCAAATTATGTTCATTGCTATGCACACCAGTTAAATCTAATTATGACAAGCGCATGCTCTGTCAATAAGCAGGCTAGAATATTTTTCCATAATTTATCTGGATTGTGCTCTTTTTTTTCGACGTCTCCTCAAAGAACAAAAATTTTGGATGAAATAGTTAATTGCAGATTGCCAAGATCTTCCCAAACACGTTGGAATTTTCAGTCACGAGGTGTTCATACAGTTTATGAAAATAGGAAAGACCTGATTGAAGTTATGGACAATATAGAAAGTACGCGATTCTTCGTCGATTAATCAAGCCAGTGGGTACAAATTAAAGCTGCAAGATACAAATTTTGTATTTTGGCTAAGTATATTCCATAAAATAATGCCACATGTTGAAATTGTCTTTAACCAATTACAAAAAGTATGCACCGATTCTGTTAAGGTCAAAAATGATTTAGAGAATTTTGAAGCAGCAATTCAAACTATACGAGAACAAATGAATAGCATTATTGACGAGATTGAACGAGTGCAGAGAGAAACTGATGAACCGGCAAGAAAAAAAAGGCAAGTTGAAGAAGGCAGCAAAAAACGGGAAGCGTTAGAAACATGCGATGCAGTATTATCGCAAATAAGAACAAGATTTAACTTTTCTGGACATTTAGTTGCTTCTAATTTATTTGTGTCTGAAAAGTTTTCTGTTTATAAACATCAGTTTCCTGAAGCACATTTAAATGACACATGCACACAATTTTCATTTTTAGACAAAAACAGGCTTAAAACTGAGTTACAAGTATTATATCAGAGAGAAGAATTGAGTACTACTTCTGGAGCTGTTCCACTATCCATTTTATTGAACGAGGAAGGATTAAATTGTACGTTTCAAGAAACTCTTAAGCTC